GACTACCGAGCTGCTCATGCCCCGACTGCCCTTTCAGCGACTGGTGCGCGAGCTGGCGGAGAACAACGTCCTCACCGGGCTGCGCTTCCAGGTGAGCGCCCTGGAGGCGCTGCAGCACGCCACCGAGGCCTACCTGGTGGAGCTGCTGGAGAAGACCAACCTCTGTGCCATCCACGCCAAGCGGGTCACCATCATGCCCCGGGACATGCAGCTCGCCGTTCGCCTTCGAGGTGATCCCTTGGGGTGGTGGTGATGGTGGTGATGATGGTGATCATCATTTATCACATCTCGTTCTACTCCTCCTCCTCTTCCAGCTATTTGCATTGCTTTTATTACCTAACTTCTATGATCTTTTTCTTCTTTTCTTCCTCCCCTTCTTCTTCTTCTTCATTGTCTCCTATGTTTATTTATTCTCTAGAGCTTTTATTCCTTTTATGCATTTCCACTACTATTTTTATTTCAACCGCTACCGTTAACGCTTTCCACTTTCTTTCTCTCTACAAAAAAACCGGTGAGCACAAGTTGTCCTTTTAACATCGCTCTTTGTAACTTTGACTCACTGGTGAGCAGTCAGCCTTTTTACAAGTTCAGCTTGGCAATCACTCGAGTGAGCACCTCAGTGACCAGTTCAGGACGAGCAGCGGCGGTGAACTGGCTCCAGGCGGTGGAGTTGGTGGACACCATAGAGTGGAAGGCGACAAACTTGATGCAGTTCTCCTTCAAGGTAGTCGCATTGTGGAGGTCAGCGTACAGAAGGGAAGTGAAAGCGGAGTCGGTGGTCAACTTCAGCGAGAGCTGACGCTCACAGGCCACTTTGAGGGCGTCCACCTGGTACTGGAGATTAATTAAAGATATTAATTATGAAAGCCAAAACTAAAAGGTCCTACCTTATCAGCTGCAGAGAAGAGCTCAACAGACAGATCATCCTTGCTCTCAACGGTGCTAGTGTAGATGTAGCGGAGCAGAGTGCGCATCACTTCAGCAGACACATCCTCAATGATCACCTTCTTCTCAATTGCCTCTTTGGTGTCCTCGTGCTCGAACATGGCTGCAAAGACCGCCGAGTGAGTGGCCAGGTGCAGCTTGTGAACCTTAAACTCCTGATCTTCTACCACCAGCGTGATGTCACTGTTGGCGCCCGTCTCCAGGAGAGCCTTCATCTTCTCAAAGTGGTCTCCACTTCGAGACATTTCAATCACAGGCGAAGGTGAGCAGCAGATGCCCGAGAAGGAGTCAGTCGGGTAGGAGACATTGATCTAGTAGAGAACTTGAATCAGTAAGCAACTAAATAAGTGCAAAAATAAAGCTTACCATGCACTCCAACACCAGCTCTCCATTGGAACGCACTGGCAAAGTTACGGCGTCTTCCCTGTTATGCAGATCGATTGACACTGAAGTTGGCGAGTTAACTAAGAGTGAATATCTTCCAACTAAAAAGTTTTAAAATAAAACAAGCTTAGTTCAAAATATTGGTATTCGATGAAAAGTGAACCACTGTAAACCTACGGTGCAAAATATTAATATTTTGAGGACTTTTCTTGTAAACTTTTACATTTTCTTCATTCGTTTCAACACTGTAGTCGATGACAATCACTGCATCCTCCTTCCAGTGGCCAATTTGGTCACCCGTTTTGTCGCCGCCTGAAATACTCTTCACTTGCACAAAAGCCGAAGTATGATTTTTCCATAAACTTTCCATCTTTTTAGTTCCATTAGGGTAAAAAAGAACTTTGAACTGCAAATCGTGCTCCGGAGCGTAGAACACCGGCGACTCGAGAGGTTTGCTGATGGAAACCGGGCCCACACGATAGAAGGCAAAGTCCTCAATGGTCCAAGTGCGTTTCAGGGTAAACTTGGTCATTGAGGTGGTGTAGTGCGACGATGAGGAAGGAGCAGTTGAAAATGATGCCATGCTGATGCTAATGCAAAGAACTTGAAGGAGACTTGACTTGATCTGACCACTTCTTTTTGGAAGTTTCTGTCCACTGCCAAATCACACGTGCTCTTCTAGTGTACTGTACTCTGTGAAGGGGCAAAAATGTGCTTGATTTTGTTTTGCGCCTTTTTCAGCTCTGGCTCTGAAAAAAGTTCCATTTCGGATTCTGACGCCTTTTTAAATTCTTGATGTGTTTTTAACGACTGTTTCTTTAGTTGCTCAACCACAGATTTTACCAACCAACCAAAAACCGAAGCCTCGTCATGGGCCACCGTTTGGAGCCTGAAGAGGAGGAGGAGGCTTTCCTCGCCTGCGTCGTCAAGGAGGTGTACCGCCGACTGGCCACTGAAGCGGCCGACCGGAAGCTGGCCAAAACGACTGACGAGTACGCGGCCAATCTGAAGAAGGTGGACGAGTACGTGACCGGCCTGAAAAGGCTCGACCTGCAAACAGGTTGGTGCTTCAACTTGCCGCTCACCGGTGGAAGCATCACAAAGGTATGATTGTTTGTTTGTGTTCAGCAAAAAGTCAATCAAATTCTCCATTTTAATCTCTTGTATATTTGATCCCTAGACTCGCATCGCT